GGGAGATCCTGGACCACGTGGGCCTGCCGGTGAGCCCGTAAGTACAAATATTAACCTGAGTTACATTACATTTACATTTTGATCAGTAGTGCAGACTCTTTACAAAGCTGTGTGAGTTATGCAAATACTGGCTGCATAGGTGTTAGAATGAAAGTTAAGGATAAAATGCACAATAATACAATTTGTACTCAAGTCTATAGATTATAAACTGCTCAGTAAAGAAGTGATATTATCTTTCAAGCGAATGCTTACATTTTGTTTTAAATAATCTCTACATGTTATCACTGCTGGGTTTAAATAATTGATGATGATTTCTCTCTCACAGGGTGTAGGACCTGATGGGCTGGATGTGAGTATATGAACAGTACACGTGATCACACCTCACACACTGTGCTCTCAGGGGTAGCATGTTCAGTTCAGGTAGGTGTGGGTAAATTAAACACAGTGGTGACAAGTTCGCTTTTAAGGCTGTGGATATGCTGCTGATATTATTACCATAACCACAGCAGGGAAACGTCAATGTTTCCTTATTAATTTAAGAGATGTCATTTACACATTGCAAAAATGCTACCTTTCATTGTTACTGGTCTCATTTCTGCCTTTTAAATGTAATTCTCTTGAAATATAAATTGTCAGTATCTTGAAGCAAGACAGATTCAAGGACCAGTACCAACACAAACATACGTTGCCAAGTGTTGGAGATATCAGCTGTAGAGATGTCTGCCTCTCTCCAGTATAATGGAACTAGATGACACTTGCCTTGTGGTGCTCAAAGCACGAGCAACATAACACGACACGACACGACACGACACGACAAAACAAACCAAAACCTTTGAAAAATCCTACAACAGTAGCCATGTTTCCATCAGCCTGTTTAAATGCGCATCTAGAAGTATCGTATCAGAAAATTATGATGGAAACGCCAAAATTCGAATTAAAATCCCCTGATTCGCACAAACTAAAATACGCTCGCTTTAGCCGGGTTTTGGTTGATTCGAAAAAATGTTGATTCGCAAAACAGGGGATGGAAACAGTTATGTTCAAATTAAGTCTGACATAGCACACCTCTCTCCATGGTGATATCCACACTCCGGGTTGGGAAGGCGGTAATGCATTTACAAGCTGGTTGCCAACCGCCAGAAAACATAGAAGAAGAAGAATGCGAGACTTGTTTTGTTTCTGGTTCTGCGGAAAACTCGTGCGAGTTTGTAGTTTTCACCAAAGTCCATACATTTAATGGAAACACACAGGATTCGTATTTCTTTTAATGCACATTTCCCAATGATTCAAATCACTTTTGGATGGAAACATAGCTACTGTCTCTTTCCAGAAATCATGACCTGCTCACTTAAGATAATCCACAGACCTTGTTGTGAGCAGTTTCATGTAGGGACTATTTTCTTTCTACCGAACTACACCTGCCAACCGTATCAGCATTCAGAAGGAAGAGTGCATCTACTCATGGACGAGAGGCTCGTGCTTATGACAGCATGAGACATAAACATTAATGAGCTGTAACATTGGCAAGCTCAGTGGAGCTATGTGACCTAGCAATACATGCAAACTTCCTTTTGGGCAGTGATACTATTGGTGGATGTACTTGAGTAAAACCTGGCTGTGATTTCTGGAAAGAAACATTGCCGTTAAGTTTTTCAAATATATATATTTTTTGGCGCTATTTCCATTACAGCCTATTGGAGGGAAGGCAGACGTGTCTACAGCCGATAACACCACCACTTGGCAACTCACACCAAAACAATCTAGACTGATAAAAAGCACAACAGGTTGGAGGACCTTAGAAGATCTGAATACTTCCTGCACCACTGAACATGGCTGCATTTATTTAAAGTATCACAGCATGTAGACTAGAGTTATATACTTAATGAAATATATTTATGTACAAGAGATGTATTTGTGTTTTAGAGGTTTAACTGCATCAGATTGTTCATCAGAAGTTCATGTTTTGTCGTTTGTTAACAGGGTATTCCAGGTACAGACGGGCTACCAGGCGAACTGGGCAAAGTTGGACCACCTGTGAGTGCACTCATCATTTCAGTTAAAGTTTGTCATGTTTATATTCACAAGTAAACATGACAAACGTAAGAAATAAGCCTATTTCTTAATGTCATGAGAACTTAAATATTTACTTAAAAATAAGAAATATATTGATAAGAGTGGCTGTTGATGCTGCTTTATGATTTAAGATTTTTGTCCATATGCTGTATTAATAAAGATTCCTTTATATCTCTTACAGGGAGCGAGAGGCAAGAGAGGTCCGGTTGGTCTTCCTGGTGCTGCTGGGCCACGGGTAAATATCACTGCTTCTGTATTAACACTATTATCAGTGTTTTATGGTGGCAAGTAAGTCATGTGGCAGCTCTCAATGAGACGGTGTGACACTGTGGGGTTTTTAGATGCATGAATATAAAGGTTGGATTGGACGGTGTCAATTTTTAGACAACAAAAAACAACTTATATTTTAGGACGATGAGTTTCTTGCCTGTTGACAAAAGGAAAATCACCTAAATGAATGATTTTAAGTTGTTTTAAACTCAACACACATTGTGTTTTCTGTCTAGGGTCCTCCAGGAGTGTATCAAGGCGAGGACCTGGTAAGTTTGATCCTAAAGTAGATTCATTTACAACCATTTCAAGAAAATGGCACCCTGCTTTTCCAGAATACAAATGCTTGGTATGATGCTACAACTGTGCAGTCTGACATAAACTGCAAGAATAAAGACTATTCAGGATGATTCACAGCTGAAGGAAAGAAAGGAAGGAAATATCAGTATAAACCAGAGATTAGAACAATAAGCATGGCTGACATGAGACCACAAGGACTAGTACGGGGTAATTATCTGATTTTATGCTTTAAAGGAGCATTTTCAGTCAAAGTTAAATTATTTTTGTGTTGTCAGAAAAATAAAAGCCAAGCTGCTGTGTTCAAATGCTCATAAAGAGCTCAGAAATCTGAGACTCAACCAGCAACAAATTTAAAGGAATGCTTCACCCACAAAATTATAATTTGCGTATCAGTTATGTTGAGTTAGTGAGGAGGACTTTGTTTTTCTCACATGCCTCCACGGTGAACAAGGAATCAAAAAATGAAGAAATTCTTAATGAATTCAAACAAAAGGGGACCACACTTAACAACAGCATTAAAAGGAAATTTCAGTTTATTTCAACCCGTCTCCTATCGTCCTAAATTTGTTTCAAGTTACTTGTGACATAGAAATAATAGTTAGCATGTAGCTACTTATCTGTGTGTCACACACACAGATAAGTAGCTCCCCTTGGGAAGTGCACGCATTTGCAATCTTGTCTCACGCCAAAGTTGGTGAAATCCGGCACTTGGTCAGTGACTTCCGGTGTCAGACACCGACCAGAAAAGCTGTTCTTTCATTTTTGGCATCATACACGGCCGGTTACCATTACTGTTTAACAGTGTCAGTGGAAATGTGACCTGACAACGACAAAAGTTAAGGTGGCAGAAGTCCGAGTATGTGGTGGATGGGTCCAACGACCACTGACTTTCACTAGGGAGGCCAGTGTTCACTTCCTGTAAGCAAAACCCTGGTCTTTTTGCCTAAACCCAACCATGTGGGTCAATTTGTAATTCAATTCGTAGTGTTGTACAGATGTACTGCTTTTATTTTGAAAGAGACTGTATGCAAACAGTACATTTCCTGTGAAAGCGGAAGTGTATCTTGACACGGCGCCCCAGAACGTCAATAACCAGCACACCCAGGGTACTGTGCATGTTGTATTCGACGTGGAAAGTCCATGACCAAACGTCGATATGTCATGAGGTCAGAGTGAGAATGTGTTGGCATTTGAACTCTGCTCTGTCAAATAAACAAGCAGGCACACTACTCATATGTTAAACGCGGCCCCCTTTTAGTTAATTTCATCAAGAATTCTAGGGCTATATTCAACTCAGAATGATGTTCAATCAGAGTTGGCTACTCAATATGAATATTCAACTATTCATTCCTTTTTCTCCAGATAGAGTTTGAGCATTTGAACAGGGTTCAGTGAGCTGTTCAGTGTGACAGTGACATTCAGTTAATATAATAAACAAGCTAACAGCGCTAACTATAGACTGGAAATTCGCAACAACAGTTTTTGACGACACTGGATATCAAACAAGAGCCAGAGACTGTCCTGTATTAAGTTGCTGTGAGCTACAAATTCACCACTTCTAATCAGAAGGAAGAAGATAAGTTACTTCAGAGCCTTACTGGGCAGAACCTGTCTTCCTAAGCACAGAAGAAAGGAAGGAAGGGTTCACACAGCCAAATCTGGGGACCCAAATGTCCCCAGAGGAACACTCCACACTGACTGAAGAAAACAGTCAACTGTGGGGTTTCCAACTGATGATTCAAACCTCCAACTTTCAGGGGGGCAAAACTTTAAAAAATATTCTTGGATTCTATGTTCACTATGCGAAAAACAGTTTCAGTTCAACACATGGGCGAGTAATTAATCTACAAATTAATATTTTGTGGGTGAAATATTTCTAAATTATGAGCCTTCCAAATCCAGATTATCATCTATATGACATTAATGACTGAGCTCTGGCTTTCAGTAAATAAATCCAGTGATGTTCTGAAGCTGATGGCTGACCAGAGCGTATGTAGTTTTTAAAATATTTTAGAACACTGTCTCATAATCAAGTAAAATTGCAGTTAAGTAGAAACAGCTCGTAGCAAAGAGGGCAGCATTTGTTCATTTGCCCTTACTGCTAGCTTAAGGAGGTCAGGGGGTCACTGGACAGTGGAGCCCCCTGGTGGCGGGGCTCTTCCATGACCTCAAATAGGCTGTTGTGTTTTTCAGTGTCCCAACGCCTGCCCTTCTGGTCTGTCTGGACATGCTGGTCTCCCCGGCATGAAAGTGAGTACAATTTCACTTTTGATTATATTATTTTCTTTCGCTTTAGCTGCTCAGTAACACTTATTGCTAAATGCATTTTATAGATAAATGTAACTGGTTGTTCCTACCTCCTGTCTGTAGGGCCACAAAGGGGTTAAAGGTGAATCTGGTGAGCCTGGAAGACAAGGACACAAGGTAACATCCTGTCTCTTTGATTTATTCTTGTGACAGATAACATGCAAAGACATTGGTCTTGATTGAGAAGATGCAGAGACCCACAAAGGGTCGGGAATAAAACATGCTGCTAGTTGCCAAGAACGTTTTATTGAAGGCATGAAACAGTTTCTTTTCTCTGCAGCTTTTGTAAATGTGTCTAATGCTGAACATGATGAAAACAGATTATCACAGCATGACAAAACTTACGTTCTCTTTCAGGGAGAGGAGGGCGAACAAGGACTTCAGGGGGAAGTTGGAGCTCAAGGACTACCAGTAAAATATTTTTAAAATTCTCTCCCAACATGCTTCAGATGAGACGACTCCTCACAGCCAAACATATTAACATGAGACATTTCTGTCTCTTCTCCTCTACCCGCTGAGTAATTTTAGGGCCCAGGTGGACCAAGAGGCCTCCCAGGAATAATTGGCTCCAAAGGTGACAGGGTAAGAGGTCATGACGTCACACACACTGCAGACGAGTTACAAACTAAAAATTAAAAAATGTCCAAAGTGTTTGGCTCCACAGGCCATGACATAACTTCACTTAAAGAGTCTAAACTTTAAACTGATTATCTTCTTGTTCTGGCTCACAGTCTTCATCAGGTTTACAAAGGAAATGAAATCACAGCTCCTATATACACACACCACAAAATGGCTGACTGTTAATTAGCCAATCAGGACAAGACACAGGATGGCCAACCCCTTAAACTTTCAATAAAGTCATTTCAAAATAAAAGCTCACTAAATAATGCAAACATGCAATCACAAAATATGACAGAGAGCATTAAAGCCTAAGAAAATATAAAAAAAAACCTTTTAGATAAGTGTAAAACTCTATATTCAAAACTCATTCATTTCCTCCTGATGCAAAAACAAACGAACAAAACAATCCCATCATCCCAACCATCAAGCGATGAATCCAATGGTTGCATCTACATTGTCTGCACTGAAATATGCTGAAGTGTAATGCATATAAGTTTTTTTTATGTATAT